TAGATGGATTTGAATGGGTTTGTAGGAAGAAAGGTTCAGATGGTCTCTATGTGAAGCGTTCGATCAGAAAGAGTACTTGGTTTGAGAAAAGTCATTTGAGTATGATTGATATTTTGATTTTTACGTGGCTTTGGGTGTACGAAGCGAACTCGAAAATCATGGTAAGTGCATATTTGCTTTTGGTAGTGCTTAAAAATGTATAACATGTTTTTCCTTTTTTGTGTTACTTTATTGTTTGGTTTAAAATGTATTTCATTGAGATTATGTATTTTTTGTTTGCCTATATTGTAGAATTTGGTGTTCCTTTGACTTTTTAAGTGAAAATATATCGATGTATACACGAGCAAAGTAAAGGGGGTAATGACTGGTATTTAATCCTGCGAACCTTAAAGGTATATGCAGGGCTTATTGAAACTACTAATTGATTTAAAATCAACCACCGTACTGTACTCGTTACTGGCCGGAAGATCCATTAACCTCGCCAACAAACTAAAATACTTTATTAATGAAACAACTTGTTACAACAAAAAAATATAATAATACATAATTTTTAATCAAATATTAAAATGAACATATTCCTAATTTAGGGAATAGAACACTTTTCCATATAATAGTACAAACATATAACAAATGACATCCTTGTCGTAAAAAGATTATTTGTACAACAATGTATAATCTAATATAAAGTTTTTTATAATACACAGAGACTCCATCCAACAAAATGAATAACTTTTTCAATTTGTTTTTAACATATTTTTAAACATAAAAATTTGCAATTGTCAATAATAATTCACAATCCAAAATTATTCACCATTTTTTTCATTTTTCTTTCTTTCTTCCTTCTTCTTTTATGGAGAACATTACCCATAAGTCAGTTCTCCTTATTATAAGATCCATTTGTCTTCTAAAACAGGATTCTAAACAGGAACAATTTTTATCTAAGCTTGAATGCTTAGTTTCTAAATCTAATTTATATTTGTTATTCGCTTGTACTCAATTAATGCATTCAGGTTCATTTTTGCATTCCCAATAATTATGTCCTTTTTTCGAACATTTCCCACATATCAAATCTTTATCACATTTACTTTGAAAATGACCATACTCTTGACATTTAAAACATCTTACAACATTTAGATATTCTTTATTCTTTTACTGTGATTCTATACCATTTCAAATTAATTTTATTTTGGTTCATAATCGGACCAAACTTATCTGGTTGAATATTTGCTACCCAATGTACTTTTTGATTTTTTAGCTTTTATTTTGAACAAAGTTCAACTCCGCCATTTTCAAACATTTGATTTTGTCTCTTAATTGCTTCCAAAATTTTTCACCTTATCCAATTCTTTTCCACATATACAAATATAATTTTAGGTTTTTCTTTTTAGGAGCTTTTACTTGAATTTCATCTCTTAAAAGAGAATTGGTTTTTATTTCTCTCTTCTATAATGAAACAATATCTTCTTTTTTTAAACATTGTACAACCAATCCACCATTATTCACTTTTCTAACATTTTTAATACCAATCTCAACTCAACTGGATCAATAATTTCTACCACTTTTGATTTAACTTCTTCAGAAGAAGTTCCCTTTTTACTTGGATACAGTAGAACAACATGTTCTTCTATTTTCTTAGTTTTTTCCTTTATTCTAAATACGTTTTACTTATTACTTATTTTCTGCTGTTTTAAAACCTCAGCAAAAGATCTTTCATATTGTGGTTTCTTGTCCAATATTTCTAATTTTCCTTTTAAATTTTCGATCTCCAATGCTTGAGATACCAAATAACTAAACAACACTTCTTGTGTATGTTAAAAGACTTTCTTTCTTATTGCAATTGTAATTCTACTTGCATCTTCCAAACAAGTCTCTAGCTCACTTATTATAGTTCCGAGCTTCTTCAATCAAATCATCACTTTGCACAACAGTCTCTGTCTGAACTTTCTGGTATCCATTGTCAATCTCTTTTGGGGTTTGGATTTAGACCACCTCCCTTAGGAGGTGGAGCCCTCAGACCACGACAAGTAAATTCAAAGTAATAATAAAGTTCAAAGTAAATGTGACAAACCCCGGGAAGTGTTAAGTAAAGGGGGTGTGCAATGCGAGTTTGTGCAATTCTGGGATTTTTTTTTAAGTGAAAATAGGTCGACGTGTACATGGATAAAGTTAAAAGAGTGCACAATGCCATTTTTGTGCAATTCTGGGATTTTTTTTAAGTGAAAATAAGTTGATGTGTACTTGGATACCGAGTTTGTGCAATTGTTTGTTTTGTTATTTTGGCTTTGTGTAGTGATGATTTTTGGCGCAAAGATTGCCTCGTCTCAAGCCAAAATAATGAGTCAAAGAATTGCACGAAATCGGTATCCATGTACCGCCAAAAATCGCCAAGGGGTACCCTAAACTATACTTTTACCTTGATAATTTGTGCAATATTATAATCAAGAGTTTATTTTATAAGATTGTTATTTAGTTTCATTGGCGATCCTTCGTAAATGTGATAATTTGTGCAATATAATCAAGAGTGTACTTATAATTTTGTTAAATCCCGAAACGGTGTATTTTTTCTTTGATAATTTTTGGAGTATATAATCAAGTATGTTTTAATAATGTTATTTAGTCAAGATATATTTTTCGGTGAATGGTTGTGTTGACGATCCACCATTTTTTCCAATCGTCATTGTCGGGTCTGCCTCAGCGACACATTTTTGTCACCAAATCAAAAAATCGCAAAAGGACCAATACTAAAGCTGTTCCAAACTTTTACCCAAGTATATTATGAGAATATCACATATAACAACATGTAAACAAAACATGGCTAGAAGAAAATTTTGAGAAGTTTTATTTTTACCATTGAAGGGTTCCTAGCTGAAACATGCTTTGCCGGTACTTGTGTTGCGGCTAGGCACGAAGGACTTTTTGAAACCGAACAAAATGTTTTGCTTAAAGCTTTGTTCTTACAGTTTCTCCAAAGAACTTTTTACATAAATTAACCAGTCGGATATTCTGAAAACAAAACCTCTGGGAAATGCTTCTTTAGACTCACTATTGAGAATAGCCTGTAGGTATGATACTGGTTTTAGGCTTGACTGCTCGGTATGGGTGTACCATTTTGTATGTTTGTAGGGAGGAGACAAAGTATTTATTTTTTCTCTACAGTACAAATGAAATTTATGGCATGATACTCCGGGAAATCTCAAGATAAGCGGCACTTGGTGCAATTTTTTCCGCCATTGTCAATCATAAAAAATCACTATATCCTTGGGAGGAATTTTTTTACACCATGAGGGAAATGGCATCAAAAAGGCGCTTTCCAAAAATTCCTTCTTGAGTCCAATATCGGGAAAAGCTCTGTGTGGCAAAAATCGTGCAAGTCAAAGTCTTGTGCTTGTGCTGAGAAGGTAAACCATACACATCTTATTAATATATCATCTTCATTTGTTACTGCTTCTTCACATTTCTTTACAAAATTAATTACATTCTGTTAATTGGAAAATATCACATGTTTTGCGATATCCGAAAAACTTTAAAATTTGTGGCTATCATGATCAAATTTAGCTATCCTTCAGTATACATATTTGGCTAAGCATCATGAGCTTATCGACTAACGACAAGTTCTGTTAAATTTTATCTTGCTTCTATTGCACACTGAGACAATGAAGCCGGAATTGTATTAGTTTAATTATTTATTATACTTATGTCTTATTTCTTGCGCATGCTTAATGCTTATCAGAGTTCTGAATAAATAAATTCCCACATATACTTAAGCCTTATTAGAGGGCTGGCACTAGATATCTTAGTCTCTACCCCTAGCACTGGTTCTGGGTTTATTTGAATTTCAAATAGCCTTCAATGTAATCTTTGAGGCTATGAATATCATCAACAAAATATAGTTTTAGCATATGGAAAGAAATTTTTCATCAAAATTTTTCAGCGTATTTAACTGAAATATATAATCATCGCCAAGTGTAATTTCAGCATAAAAGGTTACCATACTGCTTTATTATTCAATTACTAACATAGAAAAATATTTAAGCATCGTTATATGGGTCATTACTCAGGTTGTCATGTTTTGATAAACATGCAGTGATGAAAGAAAAGTATAATAAATAATGATTCTCACCAGGTTTGCCTCAGATCAACGATGTATCTATGAAATGTTCCGGTTTGAGATATGTGCCAAGCAGATACGCAGCAAAGAAGCCAAGTTAATGATCATGCAAATTTATGTTAAAAGGATTTTTTCTTCAAAAATTTAGAGTCTCTTCTTTTATTTAGTGAAGTAAAATTAAGAATCAGGAGTCTACAGATGTTTTATTATGTGCGGAGGAGGAATGAAATGCGCATGCGTAAAGCCTACAAGAAAAACGTTTTTGGTGGTTTAGAGGCCTGATTTTAGATCATTCCGGATAACGGACGTTCAGATTTCGGACTGTGTACTGTATGATAATTGAGTTCCCAGTTTTACTGTCCTGAGAGCTAGATTATTTGAACTAGTGGTTATAATCTAGTAATGTAATAAATCTTTAAAGGATGTTACTTTCTTGCTTGATTTTAGATGTTAACTAGTCTGCCCATTAACAGGCTAAAAATTTGATATCTGGTGAAAGATTTAAATTTTTTTTCTTGAATAATATATGTAATTCGTATAGGTTATAATTTAATAAAATTTTCACCTTACGAGAACACATTAAATCTGCCTTTTATATTGTTTATTTTTTTATCTTTAGGATCTGCAAGGTAATGAGCATTAATTATAATTTAGCCAAAACATTGTTATATTTATTGAAAGATGTTTTTAATGATAACTGGTATGCACATATCAACATAATTTTAATTTCTAATAGCCTTAAGGAGAGTAAGTATGTAAGGGTGACAAAATAATCATCAGTTTATAGTTTTTTTAGTATATTTGTATTTCATTAAAGCTTTAATTTTCTTACTTTATAGTATAAATTGCTACCCATTTTTTCTTTGTATAGTAATTTTTTGTTATTTTATAGAAGAAAATGAAAGGCAAGATAAGCAAATCAGGAGATGATTTAGGTATATATATTACTTTTTTCTTTTCTTTTCTGTTAAGATTTTTTTTATTGTGATTTAGATTTGTTTTGTGTATTATGTATAAATTTAACAAAAATGAAATTTTGTGTTTTGTTTATATTTCAATGATTATTCATTCACCTATGTTTTAACATAATCTAATGATTCATAATTTATACAATTGTTTATTGTTCTCAATCCCTTTTTATATTTTTAATTGAAGGTTTGTGTAATTTTTGTATGTGTTATTTTAAATTCATTATATTTAGTTTTCTAAAGTTATTCTTTTGGTGGCATAAATTATATCTTCATAAAGTTTGACAGAAAATTTGCTTTTCTTAGTTATATAGATTTATTAAGCTTTAACCCATCCTGGGCAGGCATCCCATATATGCATTTCCTGTGAACTTTTCTCATATCTGGGCATCCCACCTTTGCATCACTAGAGTATAAGCTTAAGGAACAGGTGATACATATGTGGATTTTAAGCTGAACCTTTTTTTAAAGGCCACTAGATGGCATTCTATGTTCATTACTTTTGAAGACTTCGGTGAACGTGTTCATGGAAAGCTGGTACCGGGCAAGAGCCCAATCCTGCATTTAATGACATGGAAACAGCCATAACATTCTTTTGGCTAGCATAAATGAAAAGATGGTGGGGGAAAAGGCTAAGCCTAATCTTGTGGTGCATGCAAAGTCTTTTGGATGCCAAGTTATATCCATACTAAACAGATGTAATAACGTGAAGAACTACTGTTTAGCTGAAGGTAAGGAAAGAACAAAATGGTAGGTAAAAACAAAATTATCCTACTATATCCACGCAGGCATGCCATGTCAGCATTCAGAATGGTCAGGAACAAGACAGGCATAGAATTAGGAAAAGCATCTGGCCAGATCAGCTCAGAGCCAATAGGGAGGCTAGAAGTAAGGTGCAACATCATGCAAGTCGGGCATTGGTTAATTGACAGATCTGTCTGTTTGTACCAAGGACGGGTTCTATTATGAGGCTCTTGTGCTTATTGCCTTTATCCCCACATCATCAAAGAATTTATTTTTATCGCCAAAAAGAGGATTCTGCAAAGAGGTAAAATTTAGTGCCAAATGTTAAATTTAACAAAAGAGTAACTGCCTTCCACAGTGAAAAAAAAGTAAAAACACTGAAGGATGTAATTTAGTAAATTTTTTGTGTCAAAAAAATCCAGAATCAATTTCAAGGGGGTTACATCATGAATTTTGACAAGCATCCACGTATCCTTGAGTCATGTGGTGTTAACAACAGGAAAGCATAAACACTTGTGAAAAATTTCATGTCTCAAGTGGTTCGGGTCTGGGAGGGGAGGAGAAGCGAGGACTCGTTAGGCAAGTTTGATTTAGAGACACACTGCCAGCAATGCTTCTGAGGAGAAACTTTTATAAATACAAAATGATTAATTTAGCTTTAAGTATTATGTCAACTGATTAAAAATAGTATTAATTTTCATAGTGAAATTAAGTTAAAATTAAATAAAAATTATAATGCACTAGAACCCTTTTAAGAACAGAACAAAAGCTACTTAAAGTCAGTTAAGAACCGCTAATGGTTGAAAGAAATGAGATTGTGCGATTACATGACAAAGAGAGAGTGATCCTGAGGGAAGCTGAAAGATCAGTGAATTCACTCAGGCGGGAGGGGAGGGGGTACGTGAAAGAGTGTAGTGAAACCTTCGAGGCACCTCGTCTCCATAGCCTCTTGGGAAAAGGAAGCGCATTGAATGCATTCTCCAGAGTAGCTATGGGTCTCTTTCATGATGATGCAATTCCTGGATGATAAACAGGCACGCAGTGGAGTATGGGGTTTCCGATCGAAGGAATGTTATTAAAAAATTAGCCGAAAGTCACTGTATAAAGCGATTTACAGGGAGAATTTTGGTTGCATTATGAATATCCTCGTTCGTACCAAACCAAGGAACTTTATAAATTTGCTGTAGTATAATGTTCTTAAAAATTATAGCGAAAAATGGCAGTGATTGTTTTTGACAACCTTCGCATTGGAAATCGCTTTTTGGATGTGAGGTTGCCACGTTAATTTTGAGTCAAGTATCACTCCTAGATACTTATAAGTAGGGAATTGGTTCTTGGAGTTGGATCCAGGGAATTGGTTCTCCGAAGAACTGCAAGTTAGGTAAATTTGGGAAAGTACTTTGGATAAATAAAGTGGCAACACATTTAGCAACATTAATTTTGATCATCCACAGTCTGAGCCAGAGCTCTAAGGTTGAAAGATAATTTTGCAGTGCAGAAATTACCATGGAGGTGTTGGAATGTTGGTTCATGATGGCTGTGTCGTCTGCATATATAACTAGATCGACATTAGGTGACTTAGGTATGTCATCTACAAAAATGTTGGAACATTTGAAGTCCGAGCAAACTTCCTTGCGGGACCCCAGCACAGATCGGTCGGGGAGTTGAGTATTCGTGGTGAACTCGCTTCCAAAAGAATCTACCTGTCAGGTACGAGTTGATAATTTTAATGAGTTGCTCTAGAAAACCAAGCTGCATGAACTTGTAAATAAGCCTGTCATGCCAAGTCCTGTCAAAGGCCTTGGCAGTGTTAACATAGATAATTCCAGTTTTCTCTCGTTTACGAAAGCCCTCATGAATGAATTCGACTACACGGAGTAACTGGTGTACCATGGAGTGTTCAGACCGGAGGCCAAATTGTTCCGGGATTATTAAATTTCGATCACAGCAGAATTCATTCAGGTGTTTAAGTAAAACATATTCATAAATTTTTGAGAGAGATGATAAGAGGCTAATAGGCCTTTATTTGACGGGAAGATTTAATTTTTGACCCGGTTTTCATACCTGCCAACTTTTACGAATTTTTCGTAATTTTTACGAAAATGTGTTTGTCTTTGTCCTAGACGTGTAAACTACTAGTAAGTCCTAGACGCGTGGTGGTTTCACAGTGCGAACACCACCCACAGAACAATGGGCAACAGTACATTTTTTTAAAATTCATATATTATTTGTGTCTAGGATCATAATATTCAATTTCTAGAGTTTTTAGTTAAGACTTATAAAACTAATATCGCACGCGTCAAAGGGGTAATGGTCTTCATACTTATTCTTTGAAAGGTTTACCTTTGACATTTTTCTGGTGACTACCGTGACCTCTGACCTTTCAGTCGAAATGCTATTACTATGTGCCATTTTGGCAGTCATATTGGATTTGGATTTAGAAACATTATCATTACAATTTGCATTATTTTTAGAATTTGCAAATATATTTTCATTAGATTTACTAATTTCATTGCATTTAACATTAGTATTTGCTAATTCAGAAGTCAAACAACAAAAATCAGCGTTATATTTACAAAACTTTCACAGGACTAGTTTCGAAGTATCTATGATATTATTATCACTATTTTCTCAAAAATCCCCATAAATCAGCTGCATTGGCGAGAGCGCGACGTTCATCCTCGGAATCCTGTTTGTTTGCGTAAACACATCTGACTGTCTGTATCAACAGGTACATAAATTTTGAATAATTGGCTGAAGTAGATAGGGGAAAGAATGGAATAAATGAAATACAAGGTAATTACATTAAACAATTAGACAAATGAGAAAATAATACAAAACTTTGTTGTTTAAAGAAGTATTAAAGTGGGACAAATTGCTCAGAGCCTTTTTCTCTTACTTTGTTCTCTGGAGTCATAATTCATGAAAGAAATGAAATTATCTTTCACTTAGTGAATTTTTTATCTGTTGTTTACCTGTTTTATCAACATTCATTTCATTATAATGGCTTTATTTCTGATAAACCATTGGATTTTGATTATTATACCATAGAGTTATGTTTTGCATAATTTGAAGTTCCTTTAAGTGACATTACAGAGAATTCATTCAACTTATCTTTTTAAATTGTAGTTTTGAAATTCTCCTTCTACTTGAAATTAACAATAAAATTCGGGAAGAAATTAAACTCTCCTTTAGTGTGGGAGAGAAAGGAATGGCTATCTTTTCTTTTCTAAAGTAAGATTCGAACTTTCTTAGCATGCTTCCAACAAGAGATGTGGGTAAATCGGCTTAAAAACAAATTTTTCATTTCTAGTCTGCAATAGAAAAGCAATTTTTATGCTTTAGATTTCAGCAAAATGGATCTATTAGTATGGTTCAATGCAAATTTCATTCAAGTTTTAGGTAATTACTTCTGTGCAAAAATTCTATTTTGATTAAAAAAAATTGAAATTATGGTTGGTTGCTTGAAGGGAAATGTCCTAATCAACTTTGCATATCAGTGATGTCTTTTAAATGAATAAAAAGTAATTTTCAATAAATAAAAAACGTCAAAAGAGCGAGTCTTGAATTCTGATTATCTAAGTTAGCATAATAAATTACATTTTGACTATTTTATCTATTGAATTGGGACACAAATTGCCCAAATGGGCACTGCACCAAATGTGAAAGGGAAAATCTTCATATTTGTGTATGCATACTTCTTTAAATTTCATAATAATATTTTTCATGTACCATTTTATAAATTATTGAAATGGTATTAATAATACAATGTAAATTGAAATTTTAATATTTCCCTCCTTATTTAATGAATAATGTGCATGTTGTAAATATTTGAAAATTCTGCACTGGCACAACTGTCTTAATGAATAGGTTTAGAGAATAGAACTGTGTTAAACTGAAATTTTTAAAATGCAGACCAAATCTTTTTTACTTGTAAAGGCATTTAGATTGCTAAAAGATGTACATAATGTACTATATGTTGCATATATATAGAAATTAAAAACACTTGATATGAATATATATGTATCGTAAAATGAACAATGAAGTCTGGAGAATGAGTAAATGCATCACATGTGTTGGCTCTTATAAAATAAGATTTCAGTATGAAAGAGTTATTAATAAAGCTAGGAGGATGTTTCTATATTTGAGCAAGATGTGTATAATTATTTATCACATTTGCTGCTGATCATGCATTGTGTGTGGTGTGCTCAGCATTATTGAAGCAAACATGCTCTTGTGTGGTGTGTAGTGAAGTGTCAGGTGCCAGTCATGTGCTAGCGAGGGAAAAGCAATGTTTCGTTGTTTATTTTCAAGTTCAGTCGGCATTACGTTTTAAATATATATATGCTGGTATTGGCATGGAGTGAAGGTTAGAAACTGGTTGTAAATGTATGTGGTCTGGAATGGAGAAACAGCTTATTTCGCACAAGATTCACTATTAACATACTAATATATATATATAATTTGCAATAATATTATAACTATCTTGGTATAAATTCATTTGTGTTCAGTTTCCTACCAAAATGATGCATATTGTTACTTATTTTAATTCACTTTTAAATGCTACACACCAATGTGTAATACGGGACTGCAGAAGTAATTTTACCTCTATTTTCCGCTCACGCACTGACACATAGTAATAAAATACTATGCTAGGCTTAATAATCAATGTGGTGTACATAAAATCTTTTAATTATGTTTCTTACGATAAGTAAGTCAGCCATATGGGTATAAACTTTCTATAACATAGCATTAACTAACGGTTATAACATAACTGGCAAACAAAGAGTTAAGCATACACTTTTTTAATAAGTTCTGATATGAGATAATTTAATTACTAACATGTTATTTTTGCTCTCTTTCAGATTTATTTGGTGACATGGATTCAGGTTAGTTTTCTTATTTTCTTCCCACTTTAAAAAATGACTTGAATCATTTAGAATTTTTACTTAGATGTTGAACGGAAGATGTCTTTGTAATCTAATGAAAAATCATCAGTTAGTACATTACAAAGTCCGAGATCCAGACGTTTCGGGTTTGGGATTTTTCTAGTGGATTCTTGTTTTTCAATGTATTAAAAAGTACTTTTCCTCAGCCTGTGATTACATGGTAAGGAAGTTTCCTTTGCAAAATGAAGTTCTTTTAAATGCTGAAGTGGCAAATTTAAAACAAATTGAAAATTCATATTTTGAAAAGATTTGTTTTTTATTGATAAATTTCCATTTTTGTTAACAATTAAAGAAAATGAATGCCATAATGATGCTTTAGATGAACTACAGAACCAATTTTCTGCTGCACAGTTTGAAGACTTTGCCAGTTCTGGAGAAGATAGACTTGATGTCCTCGTTGGTACCTTAAAAAGAATAAAAAGAGCTGATGGAACACCAAAATATGATAGAATAGCAAGAGTTTTTTTATGTGCTATTCTCGTAATTCCACACAGTAATGCTGAGTGCGAGAGAGTCTTCAGTGTTGTGAAGAAAAACAAAACTATGTTTCGTTCTTCAATTTCACCAAAAACTCTAGAAAACATTTTAATTGCTAAATGTTATGAGGAAACTAATTGTTATGACAGGAAATTTTCCAAAGAATTTTTGGCTAAAGCCAAAAAATGTACTTTAAATTCATTGCAATAATTTTTTTGTGTAACATTAAGTTCTTGTTTTATGTTTCCTAATAAATTTTTTAGCTACTACTTAATTGAGACTTACTAATGTAAGTACAATTTTCTTTTTTCTATTTGTATAAATTGTTATTTTTTTAATATCAAAGCATGATATTAATTCTTCGTGTTCTGAATTTTGGAGAAATCTGAATTTGGGGGAGAAATCTGAATTTTTATCTTTAGAGGTTGGCAGGTATGATAATGCATCCACCTTATGGATCTGATTTATTTTTGGGATGGTATTACAAAGGTAAAGTTCAGCATAGATAATATTTTTATTTGAATTTATTCAGTTCCCAATTGCTTACAGGTCCTTAATTTTTTCATTAATGGTCCTTAAAAGTACTTAATTTCCGTGTGCAGAAATGTGTACAAACCCTGTTAGGGTTTTAAATTTGTTCTGGACACAGCTTTAAACTGTTAACGAGTTCAATGAATTCATCTGCAAATAGTTCAGCAGCTTCAGTATGAACTAGAGCTTTTTCATCTAAAATTTTTAGTTCTACCATGGCGATTTAAAAATTTGCTTATAAAAACCATCAAATATTTGCATTCATTTTTTAAGTTTATTTCTTCATGAAATATTTTGGCTTCAGCAATTAGCATTGGTCTCGTCAATGGCACGCACTTGCTGAGAGGCTGTGTGATCAATTCAGTCATCACTTTTAGTATAACGAATAATTTTTCTATTGGTTAAATTTTTTTTTGTGTGTTTTCATTGCGAGTTGAGTGTTTGGAAGCCAGAACAAATTCAAATAGTTCCTTTTTCTGTTTTCTTATGTCATATACAGTAGATTTCGCATGCCATACTCCTTGAGATTTCGAGATGGAGATATCTATTTTTTTTGCAGCAATTCTCCTTTTTGTATAATGGACATCAAAATAATCTTTTGCTATGTAGATCCTGTTGCAGCTTCAGAATTATTTTGAAACAATCAAAAGTTCAAACTTTAATTTTCATAAAATTGCTGTAATAATAACAGCCTGCAAAAAATAATGGAGCTACATCAATTAAGAAAGTTATGGAATTCATATTTGCTATATTGCTATTAACTGAAATTCCTTGGCATCAGTGAAGTATAATTTTATCCTAGCTTAATAGCATCCACTATACACTAATGGCTATGTATCATCACATTGGCGACGGAGACAAGTTGTTCCACTAAAATTTGTTCTCCTTCTATGGTGCTTTTAGACAATTAAGTCTGAATTGTATTTACTATACTTAACACCCATTTCTTGCATATGCTTAAGACTTCTCTGAGTCCAGAATAAGTAAATTCCCACATATACTTTAGGTTTATCAAGAGCTGGGGCTGGATATTTTGCTACCTGATGCAGTCTCTGGGGATTCTGCTGGATATTTTATTACCTAATGCAGTCACTAGGGGTCCTAAATTCTGCAACCAAGTGCCTCCCTAAGTTCTAAATTTTGAATCCTGTTGCTTTCTTTATAAAAATATCCCTTTATTTTTTGCTCGGTGCTTCTCTAAATTTCGAAAATTTTGTCTTCTGTAAATTCGGCTGTACGAGCTCTCGTTCCTGTTCTGAGTTTCATGTGAATAACAAATCTATTTTTAATTCAAATAGTACTAAATGTAATCTTTTATCCTATAAGTATCATGAACAAAATCTATTTTTAGCATATGGAAAGAAATTTTTGTTGAATTTTCCCTCGTAAACTTTTCTTGGCGCATTTAACTTTAACAATCATTGGGAAGCATAATGTCAACATAAAAGGTTACCATATTCTTACTAATGTTAAAAAAATGTTCAGGCATTATTGCATGAGTTATTTCTCAAGTTGTCCTATGCTGATAAACATGCGGTGATGAAAGCAAAATATAATAAACAATTATTTACAAAATTGGCATCAGGAATATAAAATGAGTGTAAAATTAACAATGTTTCTATGTAGAATGTTTCGGTTTGAGATATATGCCAAGCAGATACGATGCTATAGAGCAGAATTATTGTTCACACAAATTTATGCTAAAATAATTGTTTCTTCAATAACAAGATATTTTATTTAGTGCCAAAGTGAAACTAAGAATCGGGACTCTCCGCGTATTTTAGGGAGGAGAAATGTCAAATACGATGCGTAAAGCATACAGAAAAAAGAAAAAAGGTTGTTGTTGGCTTTGAGATCATTCCGGATATTGGATGTATGGATAGTAGTCCGTTAGTAGATCCCATTTGCTTTAGTTGAACTACAGTTGATCTAATGTTCCTTTTAGTAGTAAATATTGCTCCTGCTAAACAAAACACAGTGCTGGTTTCAGAGTCATCCAGGTTACGAAAGATGGTGGAAATCGTGGCAAAAGCTCCATACACTAGTGGAAGAAAAATTTAAATAATTAATATGCTAAAGAATAAATTTGCCTTGCTTGAAGGATTTACTATATGGCGTATCATAGAAGGAAGTGTTGCGAACTGGGTCCCAGAAAATGCCCAGAATTGATTAACTGTAATGAGAAACATCATACATTTATGTGTTTACAAGTGGGCGAAAAAGAATGCAAATGAAAGTGAAACCTTTAAAGAAACTCATTTTATGTAGTATGTGCAGAATAATGTAGGTCTACTAGAAAGAACAAAAATTTTGCAAAGGCTTCTGAAAGATGTAGATAAAAAAAACTGATAGTTTCCAGAGTATGCTATTGACCTACGGAGGCCAAAAATTTTTTTGTCATATGTTCAAATTATTTGATCCAATATTATTTGATACGATGAGTAGTAAAGAAATTGATGTAAAAGGAGCAAAAAAGATTCATATAAAAACAACAGGTCAAGGGAAATCTGCTTTCCTGCTTACCAAATGGTTATTTTTATTCGGATGATGCCGAAATGTAATTTCCCAATTGGTATTTTCTTTCCTGTTAACAAGAAAAAATGGATGGATGAAAACTGTAAAATTGTGGAATAATGTTTGGCAAAAGTAGGCTGTTGCCTTAAAGAATCCAGAAAGGTTTTGATATGTTTAGATTCCATCTAATGGATGATGTGTGAAAATAATGGCAGTTATTCCAGGTGCATTAATGCCTTTAGTTCAGCCTATAGATATGTGTATCAATAAACCTTTCAAAGAAAATTTAAAATGACAGTGGAATACATGGATGTTAGAAGGTGAAAAGCATTTACAAAGGAAGCCAACTGCATTATGAGTCTAGGAATAGTGTGCGAGTGGATAATTTAAGCTTGGAATGAAATTAAACCCAACATAATTCAAAAGTCGTTTAAAAAATACAGTATATTTAACAATTTATGTATAGTTTAGAGTAAAACTGATGTTGAAGATGAAACATATATGGAAAGATATAATGGAAGACAAATATTTTCATTTTATCTGATATTGAAACACTCACAAAGTATGTCATTTCTTTTAAATAACCTTTTTTAGGTGCATGTAGAAATCTAATTTTTGTAAGGTCATCTTTTCCATATTTTTAAATCTAATTTTTTTATCTGGCATATAATGTGCACTCATAAATTTTTATCTTATTTTTGGTATTAAAAGTGTGCATTATATGCCAAAATATACAGTATATACATGTATACTATCTTTATATATACTAACCATATTCAGTTGATTTTAAAGGTATTTTTTTTTCAATAGATAATGATGGTATAGATGATGATGGTGATAGTGATGATCAGAAGCAGAATAAGAAAACGCCTGTTGTCAAAACACCTAAAGGAAAACAAGTATTGAGTGCCAAAAAACAAACTGGAAGCGACAAAAAAGTTAGTTTTCAAATACCAGGCAAAAATACACCAGCAAAGACACCAAAAAAAGAAAATTCAATTGCTAAAAAGCCTACTCCTGCTAAAGTTAATACTGCTATGAAAGAGTTTAAAGGAATGAAAGGAAATGCAAATCAATTGAAGAAAACAATTAGTAAGTGTAAATTTTTTAAAAACATTTGTGGTTTACTTTTTCAAATCTTGTTTGTTAATATCTCAAATGTTTTTGTTTCAACTCTCTTGCACATGTACTCTTTTAGACACGTCTAGTCTCCCGACAGATTTGCTAGATCTCCCAGTTTTTAATTTTTATCCTTTACTAAGAAAAGTCTTTTTCAGCAGTAAAATTTGCACTAAGTTTCATTATTGAATTAATGAAGCTTGAATTGTGAAATTTTATTTCCCCCCTCTTATGATCTTTGCCGTAATTTTCCTTATTAAAATATTTTATCTATTATAGATTAAGAATTTTATACGAAGATTCAAACAATATATAATGAGTGAACATATTAGTATTTAGTTTTGTTTTACATCAGTATGTAGAATCATTAGGCCCATTTTAGAACTGGATGCATGAAAAATATGCAGTACCTTCACCGGCTTTGATCCAGGACCTTCGTTATTATTAGTTATTCTCTGAATACCAACAACTGTTGATTCATATTGCAGAATTAAGCCCATGTATTGTGCAATAAAGGGTTCGATATTTTCAGAGATAAAAGAGTTTTGCTTGCGAAGTATATTATTTTTCAGTTCCATTGGGCTATTTTTATAGGATGCTCATATCAAAATGTCAAAAGCATTATTTAGCTGAAAAATCTAAAGAACAGCTTAAATCTAACCCCTCCTCTATTTTCAGTATTATTAATTATTTTCTTATTGCTATTGTTAGTGTTATTTAATACTTTAAACTAATTAAATTTTTTCGATTTTTCAAAATTTTCTAGTGTACTTAACATATTTCAGAATTAATTCAGCCATTACCTAACAATTATATGCTATAAAAATTGTGTCTTTAGTAATATGTTTCATTTATGTTTAAAATGCAGATGATGATGATGGTGACAGCGATTTTGATTTAAATTTGGGCGATGATGATAATGATATTGGTGATGATGTAAGTGAAAAACTTCAAGAGGATAGTTCAGGGAGTAAAAAAAGAAACTCTCAGATTAAATTTATTCAGTTGAAAAAAACTGAACTGCATAATGAAAAAAGTGCAGACAACAAGCTGAATGAGCAAAAGAAGAGTGCTGAGAATAAAGAAGAAAATGGCGAAATTAAACCAATTGAGATAAAGCAGGAACTAAAAAAAAAATGGTGTAAAAGCAGAAAAAATACAAGGTAAAATTTTCGCAACACCTATAGAGTAAATTAGGCATATTTTCCTAACTAATTTTTTTTCAATTTTCAAAATTTTTTTGTGTACTTTTATATTTCAGAATAAATTCAGCCATTATCTAACAGTTATATGCTATTAAAATTGTATCTTTAGTAATGTTTCATTTATGTTGAAAATGCAGATGAGGAAGATGACAGTGACAGTGATTTAGATTTGGGTGATGATGATAATGACATTGGTGATGTCAGTGAAAAACAGCAAGAGTATAATTCAGGGAATGAAAAAAGAAACTCGCAGATTAAATTTAATCAGTTGAAAAAAACTGAAGTGCATAGAGAAAAAAGTGCTAAGAACAAGCTGAATGAGCAGCGAAAGAGTGCTGAGAGTATAGAAGAAAATGATGAAAATAAACCAATTGAGATAAAGCAGAAAATACAAAAAAATGGTGTAAAAGCAGAAAAAATACAAGGTAAAATTTTCACAACACCTATAGAGTAAATTAGGCGTATTATATTTTGATGCAGTATAATTAAAACATAAAATCAAAGTTGAAGGTTTTTCATTTCATCATTCAAAGTGCATTGTTATTCTGTTGTTTACATTTATTTGATGTAATGGATATTTATTCTTGTAGAAATGGAAAAAGCACAGGATATTTATTTAAAAATATTTTTTTTGTTATAGTTTTGATATCTGGAAAGTAATTCATTAATGAATTTTAGGATGATTACGGAAAAAGATATAAAGAGCAGCTATATATATAATGCATTTTAAATAGGAGTGTTACCAGTGATATACTTTTTGCTATATAAATTTTGTTGTATTATTGTTTGGCATGCTAATTTGTACTTTGCTAACCTATTCCTTGTGAACAGGAAATTATGTCAAAATTTTTCGTTTCTAAGGTTAAATGTACATTGAGCAGTATATTGCGTAAAGGAAATTCATAAAAGAAATGGCAAAATTAAGTTATCTGTACAAAACACAATAGAAATCAAGCAATATATGGAGTTCAATGAAACACTCCAACATGAACAAAAGCAGTTCTGGATCCATATCGTAATACAGTAAGACCCTGCTTAACGCGGGGGATACGTTCCATCAAAGTAGAGTGTAATGCGAAACAGCGCTAAGCGAGGCTATCTTAACATGTAAATAATGGGGTTAGGGGAAGACGGATAAAGAATGGTTAGGTATTAAATTGAATAATTTTTTTAATAAAAATAAAATCAAACATTAATTTCTTACAAAAAAAAATATAAACGAATATACTTTTAAAAACAAATAAAATTCTCAGTCAGATCATTCAGTCTATTCTGGGTTTCCAATTTTCTGCCTTTTTGTTAAGAAGGCATTATGATAGATTGGCTTAATGGCATATGGCTTTCAATTTGGTAGTCAATCCATATAGAGAGTCGTTTTTCCACTTCCTCTATAATGTTATTTCTAGAACGGGTAATTCTAGTTGCAGTTGCCAATGACAGTATTTTTTCTTTATTCTTAAAAATTGTCCTTATTATTGAAGTTGCTAAATTCAATGCAGCACTAATTTGAGATTGACGTTCACCAGAATCTAATCTTCTAATCACTAGTATTTGACTTTCCAGTGAAATGCTTTTTCTGGTTGCTTTCTTTTCTTGTTTTTTATTATCACCCATGATAAAAATAAAGATCATAATATTGTCACTGTATTAATCGTTATAGTATTATATAAATTTAAAATTACAATAATGTTAACAAATGTTTCAATGATAAAATGCGTCCACCAAGCAAGAAAACACATACCTGTTTCGGATATGTTATTTGGAAACCTAGCACTGCGCACAATTCGGAGAATCCGGGTTGAAATAAAAGAGCGCTAAACCGAAACAGCGTTAAGCGGGGTCTTACTGTACAGTCAAAAGTCGTTATTCGGACCTCAAAGCTACAAACTTTCTGTGCATGCGTCAACGCATGCGCATAGCCGTTCACGCATTCGTGTAATACTTTTATGCTTCGCAAAAGTGCATGCACATAATACATTTACGCATGCGTGTTTAATGTATAACGGACGGTATACGCTAAGCTAAAATTATCTATTTCAGTTAATGTTGCAGATTGCATTGTTCCTTAATCTTCTAATGGATCCGCTTATATTTTTAGAGCAATTTTATAAAAGTAAGCTTGAACTTTCGATTATGTCAAATAGAATTTCCGATATATATTTAAGGATCTACAAAGTGAAAGTATGTTACAAAAAGTGGAATTGCTGCAAAAAATGGATAAAGGCATATCCTTTGATTCTCTAATCATTCCGAAATATGTTTATCAATTTCACGCTTCTCTGGGTGTGGGGGGACGAGGCAGTTCGCAATGAACTGGAAGTTGATCTGTCAGCACTATTCTTATCATCAAGACAGATGTTTTTATTTTATTCAGCTTAGAATTTCTTACTAAATGTAATATTTCATCTCGATGTATTCCGTTTGATAATTTAATCAAATCCTCGTCTTATGACTAACATCAATAGTTTTCTATGCAATTCTCTAACTTGGATATGCGCAAGTATGCTTTACGCATCACGCGTTTGAAAGAAAAGGTTTAATAAAGTAAAACAAATAAATATTAAGCTTTTTTGTAAATTTTGATAACCTTTAGATAATTGCTCTTTATTTAATAAATTATGGTTTCATATTTTTAATTTTATAATGTCTGCTTGCCATCTTACCAGATTTAAACTGATGATTTATAATCCGGAATCACCGAAGTCTCGACGAGTCCGGATTAAAGACTTTTGATTGTAATATGCTTAAAACAGGGAATTAAAAAGAAAACTTCCATGTCAAATTAAATTACCAATTTTTGTCATTTTTGTATTAAAATTTGAGTTGAATATTCCACTTTAGGATTCATGTTATCGAGTTTCAAGATGTGTATGCTGTTTAATGTGATTGTGGGTTAATGTTATCATTTGGATATTATTGATTTGCTAAAGTCCCACTTGTTTGTATATAAAAGCATGGAAAATACATTTGCTTGTTGAGATAAATTTTGTTAATATAACAAAACTATTATAGAATGATTTTTTAAATTAATAAAATTTTTTAAAAATATGTCAAAAGACAAATCAAAATGTTTTAAAAATTGCCATTTGACAGAGAAATGGTCTCAAGTAAGGGGTTAAGTCACCAAACAGCTTAGTTTCAATTTCAGTTAGCAATTTAAAATTAAGCAAAAGAGCAACCTTAATTTGTAGATTTGAATAATTATTGATTTTTAGGATGATCGCAAACACTTCCTTTTAATGATTCTGCAGAATTTTTCTTTGCCCTAGGGGGAAAAAAGAGAGACGTGGACTCCACAGGACCTCCCTATCGCTTATTAATGTATACAAGTTTTTTCCTGCACTTAATTCAAACTTATTTCCTTGAATTATTTTAACTTTGTTAACCAGTCGCTCAAGGCTCAAGTTGAAAATGACATAAAATGAAAATTTTGAATTAAAGTATGCTGGTAAATTTTTGTCACATGGGAGTCTTCTTGAAATATATATATATATATATATGTTTTATATTCCAATGTAAATATTGGTATTGAAATAAAAATAATGTATATATATATATGTTTGGTATTGCAATAAAAAAGGGAGATTCACAATTGGGTTCCACTCACAAAATTTTAATGTTGTACAGCTAATAATTTTTGAGTTAGATAAGTACATATGTACAGATGTCACTGAAATAATCCTTTGAGTCCATTTTACAATCTGTTTTGGAAAAAGATTCCTTTGTCCTGTCTGGACAAACAAGCATCAACCAAAAAAAAAAAAAAAAAATCATCCAAATGAATTCAAGAACAGTCAAAATGAGTAATTCCTTTGAAATACGATAGTCGAAATTTTTCAGGATTATAATACTTCTTTTACTTTGTACAAGGAAGTAAAATTTTACAGAAACCTTCTATACAACTATTGTTGCTCTTTTTTAACTTAAAATTTTTACATCAGTATTCTCTTACAATGAAGGATGCCTGCTGAATATTAAGACTTGTGGTATAGCATTGGTCAAGTAATTTCTGGAAACAATATGAGCAGTTCGTAAATAGACTTTTGCATAGTTAATAAATTCATAACCAAACTTTTGCATTTTCCAAATTAAAATTCTGTGATAATATCTTTATAAATATTTTTAACATTTTTTTGTATTGTTTTGAAAGATATTTTCCCCCAATGTTTAATGCTATCATTCAGCTAGCGTTATCAAAACAGCCATGGATAATGTACTAAAATAAACTAAAACTGATAAGGTTAGTTACTAAATTATAAAAGATTGCTCATAATTTTTTCCCAGTGTCTAATTGTGCCATACATGTATGTTGTGCAAATGCAATTTAAATAATATTGTGAAAGTGTGTGTAATGCTAAAAAAATATGAATAAAAATGGTTGAAAAAATAAAACCCTTGTTGCTTGCTATTTCCAGTGCTCTAATTTGTTCCTTTCCACTCTAGTTATTTTGCTATGTGTATATTTTTTTTATTAATAGTTTTTTTGATAAACCTAACATTCAGAATTTTTATCAATAATTTTTATCTAGAAAAAGAGGATGATGATGATGAAGACGAGGACGAAGAAGATGATGATGACGATGATTTTGATTTGGATTTGGATGATGACAACATGGATGATGATGATGACAACGACGATGACGACGAGGACGATGATGATGATGATGATGACGACGACGACGATGAAGAAGATGATGAGGAAGAAGAAGAAAGTGAGCAGAATAAAGAAAAAAGTGTTAAGGGCAAACCTAATCAATTACAACAAAGTAAAGAAGGTGCAAAGAACAAACAACAAAATAAAAAACAAGGTGTGCAGAATAATGAAGAAACTGTGAAAAATAAATTGAATCAGTTAAAACAAGGTTTACAAAAAAGTGCTGAAGCAAGCGAAAGAGAAAACACCTTCTAAAAGTGCTGAAACACTCAAAGAAAAGAAACTAGAGAAAACTCCAAAAGCAGAAAAGACTCCAAAAACTGAAATAAGTAAGTGCATAACTAGTCCTTTAAACTGTCAAAATTATGTGTTTCATTCTCTGTCTCTCTCCGTCTAATAATAATAATAAATGTCATGAAGTATTGTAAGTTTGTAATTTAATTAGAAATATTTGTAACAATGAAGGAAACTCCAAAACTGGATTTAAAAAAAAAAATCTATTTCCCAGAAAGGCCGTTTACATGTTAGAAATGTTTCTTTTTCATTGAAATAACACTTTACCAACTGCTAGCAGTTCAGCAGCATACGCACGTCCGACCGGCTGCCCAGCCGCAGATTCTCCCTGTCTTGAATAGCTGTCAGGACAACCTATTAAATCATCTAAATAAACCTCTCCAACGCCATTTTATTGCTCATCATGAATGATAAAAATTTTAAAAATGGTGTAAAAATGCTGGGTTTACGAAGCAACGCACTTAACGCATATAAGCAATGTACCTCCAAATATTAATAATAAAATGTAGATGAAATAGCAAATGGCAATTGTTTATTGCCATGGCTACCGATTGATAGGATAATTTTAGGTAGCTCCGAGAAAAAACAATTAATAGGCTATCGGTCAACGTTGGCATAAAAAGCCGATCAATAAGTTACCGGTCAGTTGGCGTTGGTGATAAAAAGCCGATTAATAGGTGATTGATTGGTAAAGTGAAGAGACAATAATTTTTCCAGTCTCCTAAACTTCAGATTTAATAGTTATACATGCATATTATTTTGACCATAAAAATGTGTTAGCATTTAATTAGTTCCTTTATTAAAAACACATTCCGTCAAACCTTAATTGTTAAATACTTGCTTTATTCAGAAACATTACCGTCAACATTACTGCTCAAAAACTTACAATTCAAGAATATTATCGTTCTGAAAAAAACTGTTGTTGCCAATCGTGAAAATACATTTTAAATAAAATTAATACGTTGCGTTTACATTCGGGCATCCTGACTTAGTTACGACCTCGGAACATTAAGAACTTATATTTAAAAAAATTAAATCTGTAATATTAATGTTTATAGTTCGAAAGTCTTTAGCTGTCATATAGATACACCGTCGTTTTCTATTCTTTTTCCGTGTCCTAGTTTTAGTAATATGCGGCGTGTTGTTTTCGTTATCCCCAGTAACACTAATGTCATCACCATCATCATCGTCTTCTTCTGATTCAGCTTGACACTGCCATGACTTTAATTGGCTCACATGAGCTGTCGTACTAAAGAAATCCTTTCACCTTCTCTTCTAATTGAGTCACTCTATAGGTATCACTTGGTAAAACTTCTGTAACTACCAAAGGTCCTCGATACTTTTGTTGTGTTTTGGTTGATTCTCCAGTTGATTTAGGTACTCTTCTCATAACTACTATTTCTCCTCGTTCGAATGAATTGCTTTTCTTCTTGTCATAATTTGCTTTCATTTTCATCTGCATATCTTCAATTCTCTTTCTAGCTTCATTTTGTAAGATTACTGGATTCTCCCATTCATTTGCGTCTTCATCTGTAATCATCCTCATCAATCCGTCATTAAATTTTGGTGAATAACTGTGAAGCATTTCGAAAAAAGTTTTATTTGTAGTCTTATTTATCATATTGTTTAGATTTCTTTCGCATTCCTTAATCTTTTTGTCCCAGTCTCTCTGATTTGGATTTTCCATACTCGTTTTAATCGTAGCTAAAATTGTTCGATTTGCTCTTTCCACCATTCCATTACCACTTGGATGTTGAGTAGAATTGATTGTATGAACTGATTCCATTATTTTGACAGTACTCTCGAAATTCCTTCGCTGTGAAACATGTTCCTCTATCGCTGATAATTTTTTCTGGTAACCAAAAATCATCTACAAAACTCTTCAATGCAACTAACACATACTTGGTTGCAGTACTTTTCATAGGATATAAGCGTGTAAATCTCGTTAAAATTATCAAATTATTAAAATAATTCTGTATTTTCCTCTTGAACTTTTACGAATGGTCCTAAATGATCTATATGTATAATTGCAAAAGGTCTTCTACCAGGTCTAATTGGATGCAGTACTCCTTGTTCTTACCACTAGGCATTTATTATTAGGCATTCGAAACACATCGAAATGTGACGCATAACATATCGTTTCATTCCTTTAAACCAGTATGATTCCTTGATTTTGGCAACAGTTCTGTCTGCTGAAAAATGTCCCAAAAGATCGTGAAATTTTACTACATACCTTTCTCATCGATTTAGGTATGACATATAACAATTTCTCCTTTTCCTGATCTTTCACTTTACGAAACAATCGATTATTCTTCAAGACGTAATTTTCAGTTACATATTTGTCTGCATTCGTTCTATCATTTATCTTTTCTTTAAAAAATGTCTATTAATTTGCGTATAATCTGGATCTGAATGCTGAATCATAAGAATTTGTTCATCTATCGTTAGCGTTAAACAAACTTCCAAGTTGTTTTCAATTATAGAGTCTAAAGTTTCTTCTGGCTGATCAACTGGCGATCGGCTCTGCATCTATGTGACTCATTCTTTTGCCTTGCCTGTGCTTTATTTCAAGATTGTATTCTTGGATCAAATTACTCCACTTTGCTATCTGAGGATTTGAAGTTTTCTTCGCGTTTAAATAAACTAAAGCTTGGCAGTCTGTAATTACCGTAAATCGGATTCCAATTAAAAATTGTCGAAGTCCAAACTATAGCCATTAATTCTAATTTGCTTGAATGATAATTCTTTTCTGTTTCTGTTGTTCCTTTACTTACACAATAAACTAAATGCCACTTTCTATCTTCTCCTTTTTGCAACAGCATTCCTGCCAGCCCTTTGTGCTCGTGTCTGTGTGCACTTCAATCTCTGCTTCGGGATTATATAGTGCTAGTATTGGTTCATTAGTTAAATGATCCTTTAAAGTACTGAATGCTTCTTGCTGATCTTCGTTCCAACGAAATGTTTCATCCTTCCTCGTCTGTCTCGTTAGCGGCTCAGCTTTCTCTGCGTATTACGGTACAAACCTTCTAAAGAAACTTGTAAGACCTAAAAATTGTTTAACTTCATGTTCATTGGTTGGTTTAGGAAAGTTTAATATGGCTTGTACTTTTCTTGGTCCAGGTTGCATACCATTCGATTTTATTAGAAATCCCAAATACTCAACTTCATCTTTTCCAAATTTGCATTTTGTCAGTTTCAATGTCAGCATTGCTTCTCTCAATCTATCAAACACTAAGTTTTTCCATCATTTCTTCCCAAGATTTAGCCGGAATTAATATGTCGTCCAAATAGCACAATACTTCTTTATTAAGCAATGGACCTAAAACTTGATTCATAAGTCTCTGAAATTCTGCAGGTGCATTAGCTAACCCAAAGATCATACGTTCAAATTGACCAGTATCATCTGGAGTGATGAAAGCTGTTTTCAGTTTCGCTTCTTCAGTTAAAGGAATCTGCAAATATCCATGAGCTAAGTCTAATGTAGTGAAAACTTTACACTCACTAAGACATTCAAGAAGATCATGTATCCTAGGGAGTGGAAATTTATCTTTAACAGTTTGCGAATTCAACTTTTCTATAATCTATCACTAATCGTAATTCACCTGTTTTTTTCTTTACGAGTAAAACTGGACTAGCATACGGAGATCTTGTTTCAGTAACAATTCCATATTTTCTTCCATTCATTTATTATCTTCTTTATAGAAGCACGCTCTTCGGCATTGGTTTTATACAACTTCATGCAAATAGGCTTACTCCCTTCAATTTCTTTAATATCCATTTTTGTTAAGTTTGTTTGTACACTCTAATTCCTCCATATTTAATGCAAAACAATCTCGATACTCATTTATCAAATGTAAAACTTCCTGTTTCTCTCTGGCGTAATATTGTTATTAACTTTAATTTCTTCTAAAGTAATCGGTCTCTTAAACTTCTTAATTTCATTTATTATCAGTATTTCCTTTTGACTTGAATTTTCAGTTTTCTGATCTGAACTTGGTTCAACTAATTCTGCTACTTCCGCTCTACTGATACATTGATTCTCTTTTTCAAAATTAGTTTTCGATCGCTGTAGTTAGTGACTGGTATCACTGTTTCTCCCTGTATTACTTCCAATAATGAGCCCAACTCATCTTCCGATCCACTTATTAAAACATAACCGTTATTTATTTCATGAGTTTTAACTTTCATGAAATTAACCGTATTACTTTTCGATTTGAGTTTCTTTGGGAAGCCTTTCAGTTTAATTCGCAGAGTGTTGCTATCATTTTGCAACTGTGAAAAATGGGCAGTCATTAGCATAGCGTATGTGCAAGGTATTACCTATCTTGGCATATGCGATATATGGTAAATCAATCAAATCAATCCATGTTCGACCAACTAATAAAGTCGCATGATTGCGTTTCATCTCCTACAGTTAGAACTGTAATGTCCTTTCCTTCCACATTATCAATTTCCCTAAATTAACAGTTACTTTTCCCAATGTTCTAGTGGCTGGTTTATTCTGGTTTCCCGAAGCCTAAACAATTCCTCCACATCAGGTTTTACAATAAGATTCAGTTTCCTAGCCAATAGACACGAACTAGAATTAGTCTGTTTCAATAAACACGAACTAAAACCCGTATCTATGATTGCAGTAATTTTTTTCTCCATTATTGATGCGAGCATACTTTAAATATACAGCTGGTGAAACACCTGAATTCTGGTCTACGGATAAATTATTTTTAACATTTGTCAAGTCTGGATTCTTAGACGTACACCTTTTAAAAGTATGACCCTTTTCATTACATTTCCTGCAAATAATTTATTTTTTAGGCTGTGGACAATCCGTCGCTATACATCCATAATCATTACAATTGAAGCATTTCGGCTCACCCTTTTCATTGCGGATGCCAGAATTATATTCCCTTTTCCTTTCATCTGTTTTATAAAATTTATCTCTCAGATTGTATTTATTATCAAAACTGTTTTTAAAACCCACTTTGAAATTACCATCTGTCTGCATGGAATCTTTAACATTTCTTTGTCTTGAATACTGATTATAGGATCCTTCATAAAATTTAGAACCAGATTTGGGCTTAAAATTATGTCTAAAAAGTTTTATTTTCTACTTGAAGTACTTTTATCCCTGCCTGATATTTTTTATATTCATCTAGTTTTTCAGCCAACTCTTCAGGATTAATGAATTTAGACCAATCATCAATGAAATGGTCTCGGATAGCAGCGGGGACCCTCTTCTTTAATTGATCAGTAACAATAAGTTGTTTTAAAGAGTCAAAATCTGTTACATTTAATCCAGCAAGCCACTCTTCAAAATAAGTTTTTAATTCAAACGTGAAGTCCTTCCACGTATTACGCAACGTTTTAATATGATTTATAATTCTATCTAGCATTTGTTTAGTAAAGTCTTCATTATAATTCTTACTATTCAAAATCATATCTCTTAAGCCTACAATTTTAATATCAGAAGGGACATCTACATCAAGTTCCAAAGCAAGTTCTTTTAAATCACATTTTTTGCCTCTTGCCAAATAAGCCATCTTAGACTTCAATTTTCAAATACTAATACAATAATTATACTTAAGTTCTTTCCGTTTAATACTTAGACATTACATAAACAGTTTATAAATTCACGTACCTTTCTACTTTCAGTTTTGGCGAGTTTCCACATTCAGTTTAGGCTTAGCGTACGTTAAGGCAATACCTTGTTAAATCTAGATAATAATTCTAGTTTATCCCACTTCTGAAATGTTAGCAATTAATTAGTTCCTTTATTAAAAACACATTCCGTCAAACATTAATTGTTAAATACTTGCTTTGTTCAGAAACATTACCGTCAACATTACTGCTAAAAAACTTACAGTTCAAAAATATTATCCTTCTGAAAAAAACTGTTGTTGCCAATCTTGAAAACACATTTTAAATAAAATTAATAGGTTGCGTTTACAAATGGTATTAAAAATTGTTGATATTGTCATTCTTAAGCATTCATTCTTTTTTAGTATAAGTGTTGCTGAGATGCTTAGTTGGGTGACTACCTATTTCTAACCATTTTTTCATTAACCCCGATACACAACATGTTTCTCCTTAGTTTTCTCTTATTTTTAAAATTTCTTGCGATTTTATGAACTTGGCTTAATACTTTACTTGCATCCAGGAAAGTGATTTTTGATGTCTGAATGTTTTTCTGTAGACTACATATAAAAGAAAACCAAAGTCTTTTCATCAGTGAGACATGGTATACTTCTGCTTTGTGCATAAGATCATGTGCCTGAAAATGTCGTGTTTCAGTTTTCCAGTGAGCATCAAGTGCTGCTGCAGGTCATCTGGCATACTTTAATTAGCCAATAAGCACAAAGCAAGATCGAGCTTGTTATTTCGCTCGTCTCACCACAGAGTGTTTTGAGTTTTATGTACTTTCATGAAAGAGTTTAAGAAATTATGATGTGTTAGTCTGCGAAAAGTGTAAAATACCGATACACAGATGACTTTCTTTCTATTATTTTGTCAAGGAAATTTAACATATTTGTGTAGTATGTAGCGTTTGCCATTGTGATTTTCAGATTCCGTACAGTGGAAAGGTTGATGTTCTTAAACATGTGCATATAGGAAAAAAAAAGTTTTCTACCTTTTTACTAAAGCAGAATGTGCCACTGAATGCAACAAATCATGGTGCAGCTTTATTTAGAGTGCTTCATGATAGTGAAATTGCCAAGAAATTCTCAGGTACAAGTTAAAAAAAAATGCTGCAGTTGTTAAAGAAATGAAATGAAAAATAAATTTTCTAAAGAAATGGGCATGAAAAAATAAATTTTCAGTCATTAATTGCATTGAAACAGCACCATCCTGCCTCTCTATGGATGGAAGCAATAACACCAATGGAAAAAAAAAACTATTTAGTTGTTCCTTTCTTTAATACAAAGAGCCCACCAGCATCTGAGTGGTAAAGCAGCTGAACACTAGTAGTTCTGAGATTTGAATCCCGTGAATGGGCTGGCTGCGTGGGTGTTTTCACGGTTTCGCCCATGTGCAACATGTGTGCGAGCCAGTTTCCCTTAGAAAGTTCTTCCAAAGTCATTCCTCCCTTTAGGCAGATAGCCCTCAAGCCTTTGCCGTAATCACGTAAACCAAGCTTTAATAGCTTCAGAAATCGAATGATTCAACTGGCTTTAATATAGTACAGTTTATTATTAAAACTTTACAACAAAATGCAATTCTTCTGGAGATTGCTTAGCATTATCCAGACCTTGGTGTAGACAATACATCAGTAATAGTAGGCAAGTGTGTTGCAGGCATCTTTTAAAAAAATTTAGATTCACAATCTATTTAGGTGCACCTGTCAATTTAGCAGTGGAAAAGGGGGCAGCTTCTTTGCCAATAAGTGTGGATAAACACATTCTTGATATTTGTTATTATCTTGAAAAGAGTTCTAAAAAGAAGGAAAAATTTAAACAATTCTAATAGCTTCATAATACTGAAACAAGACAAATTTTATGGTTTAAGCTCATGTACTTTCTCATCAGAATTAAATAAAGTGAGCAGAAATAAGAAAATTGCTTAAGTTAGTTTACTTGATGCAAGCTAGAGGGAGCCGCATATGCTCGAGAAAGGCTAGGGATAGAGATAAATATAAACAATTAATACAATGAAATTTTAGTTTTTAATTATCATTTTACAAAATTTTAATCTTTTTTGTAGTTTTATATTTTAAGATTTTTTTGTATTTTTCATAGTTTTTTATACACAATACAAACATTAAAATAAGTGGATAGGAAAGATCTTATGATTAATAGGCTCACTAGCATGTGGTTCTATGTAATAGTGCAAATATAGCAAGGTAATCACCCTTGACCATTGGAACCCACTTATATTTTGTAAGGAAGATGTAATGCTTCTACAGTTAAAGAGAAAAGTCTGTATTGAAAGTTGTAAAATACCTACATATGTAAACTTGGATAAAATTATAACAGCACAAGGATTGGCACCCATTGGTATTAAATTGGAAAACTGAAATGTGCTGGTGGAAGTGAGAGAGGGTTTTCAGTTTTAATCCAATACTTGTAATCCCACATTAGAAAAACTCAGCAAAAGCAAGTCAGCGGCATAGTTCATAATGAAAACAAAATCTGCCATTGTTCTAAGTATTTTTGTGAAAACTGATTATTTTTTCATTGAAACATATAAATAAGTAAAATGCTTTTTACATGTATTTTTGTACTATTTGCATTTAAAGAATTAGTAGCTGAACTTTCAAATATTAATTAGTTACTAGTTAAAGTTAATTTAATAGCTAATTCATTGCATTTGGGTAAAGAAACTGTTGTTATGGAAAATGAGGTAAATTAAAAGCTAAATTTCAGTTCTAAAAGTAGGAAAAATTTAGTAATCCCAGAATTTCAGTTTCAGTAAAAAGTTTTTCAATAAAAGTTAGTTGTTTTATAAAGAAATGTTAAAATAATAAGCTGTAGGAAAGTAAAGCTGCAGAAGTCTTCCAGTCTCATCAGTGAACCATTATTAATCATCTAATTTTTTTACTTGACAGATATGAAGATTTTGGAAACTTAACTTTTCAGAATATAAGCAAGAAAATTATGTAAAAGATTCTCAAGCAAATAATATCTAATGCTTTTGATTTTTTTCAGGGAGCTTTTCACAGAAGGCTCTTGATGAAGCAAGAAAAAGTAAGTTTGTGTTGATATATAAAATGAATATTAAGATTCAGATATATTTATTCATTTTTTGAGTATTAAACAAGTTATTCAAGAAAAATTGAATTTTGTGAATTTTTAATAGAATAAGAAATCAAGTTTAAAAATGGCAACCAATTTATTAGCATAACCATAATGTTAAGCTTTTCATTGCAGAAGTAATATATGTGTTGCATATTAAGTTGCTTATAATTTTTTATTTCATGAATTGTATAGTTATAAATCTACTATTTAAAATTTTTGCATGCATTCAATATTGTTATTTTAAAATTTTAATTCATAAGGCTTTTAGAACTTGGGTTTTGTAATTTAGCTATTGTTTAAAATTTGTTTAGGGGTAGGCTTACTATAATATTTTTAGCTCGAAATGGGGCTATTTTGGAAAAATGCTCACAGCAGAAAATAAAACCTGCTAGGATAAGTATCTGTGAGGGGGGGAAGCTAAATAAAGAAGGTGTTTACAATGAACAGTGAGTTACAAGAAATATTCAGTAACTCGGTATACTTTATTAAGAAGTTATTATTTATCACTTTGTTTCAAGGAGCTTTGAATTTATGATCAGCGTAAAGCTAATATTGTGAACAGCAACATGAAACGTAGAAGTTGGCTATTAAGAATTCATTCGTCGCTTAAATCTGTGCCTTTAAAATGGGGTAATGTATTTGAAGTAGTTTGTTGTGGCTACAACATTTGTATTGTGTTTTATACATTTGGATTGATTTGTAATGTCCGAATGCTGATCATGATATCCTTAAAATTATGAAAGCACAGTTTTCTTATTTCATTTTTCTGTAAAATTACAAACACTTTTCAAAAACAGATAATTCTTTTTTAATCAATCAGCAAATAGTTTTGTTTTGACATTTTAAAAATTAATGTACAGAAAGAACAAAAATAACCATTGATGTGGAATCATAATTTAAACTGAAACTTAACAATAACATCCTAGTGTTGCCAACTCTTAATTGTAACAAAATATATAAAAAGTAAAATATTTAGATCTCATAGGTTACTATTTAATTGTGTCATCACAGCAGCTGGGATATGCAAGATTTTAGAAAATCTGTGCTTTTGGTTATTAGAAAAGAAAATTTTTAAGGCAAGTTTTAAGCAGATTAGGGAAGGTAGTACAATTTGGTAACCTAACGGTTAGTAAAGAGATGCATGACATGCACAGTAACATAAGACTGCATGTTGTCAAAAAAAATTCCATTGATTTGTGGCTGCACACAACTAAAATGACTAATAAACTTACTGAAAACCTCATACAGTCAAAAGTCTTTAATCCAGACATCCATAATCTGGAATGATCTATAATCCGGACCTCAAAGTTACAAACTTTCTGTGCATGCGTCAACACATGTGCATAATACATTTACGCATGCACGTTTAATGTATAATGGATGGCATAAGCTAAGCTAAAATTATCTAATGATCTATTTCAGTTAATATTGCAAATTAATCTTCTAATTGCACCCGGCTTATTATTTTTTGCAGACTGTTAGAGCAGTTTTATAAAAGTAAGCTTGAACTTTGGATTATGTCAAAAAGAATTTCCGATTCTGGAGGATCTACAAAGCGAAAGAATGTTTCAATGTCCATCAAACAAAAAGTGGAATTGCTGCAAAAAATGGATAAAGGCATATCCTTTGATTCTCTAATCATTCTGAAATATGTTTATCAATTTCACGCTGCTCTGTGGGGGGGGCAATGAACTGGAAGTTGATTTGTCAACACTATTCTTATCTTCAGGGCAGATGTTTTTATTTTATTCGGCTTATAATTCCTTACTAATTGTAGTATTTCATCTCGATGTACTCTGTCTGATATGATTTAAATCAAATTCCTCATCATTATAAATATCACGAATACACATCAAATAGTTTTCTGGTTGCAATTTTCTAATTTCGACTATGCGCAATGTATGCTTTACGCATCCACGCGTTGAAAGAAATGTTTAATAAAGTAAACAAATAAATATTAAGCTTTTTTTTGTAAATTTTGATACCCTTTAGATCATAATTGCTCTTTATTTCATAAACTACAGTTTCATTTATTAAATTTTATAATTTCTGCATGCCATCATACCAGAATTACACTGATGATCTATAATCCGGAAAAAGCGATAATCCGGAATCGCCAAAGTCCCGACGAGTCCGGTTTAAAATCTTCTGACTGTAGTAAAAATTGCATTTACTGTTTGACCTTCTGACACAAATCTTATATAAAGATTAATAGTAGATCAGCAGTATCTACGTACTCTACTAATAACATGCTTATGTACAGAAAGTACCGCATGAACAGATAGATATTGGTCAAGAAAGATTGACACATGCTATCAGGACAGATATTAGTTGAGGTATGGAAGAATACCCACAGAATGTTTGGCACATATCATCATATTATAGGATGATCACCTTACTTAACAATACACAAATAAATAAAAACATCGTTTTATGTGTGTGTAGTTCAAAATAAAATATTTACTGTTAAACACTCAGTTATGTGAGTAGATATTAGCAGGAACTGATAGTAATAAAACTATTGTCTGTTTTTGTTTTTAGAAGAAAGAGATACCAGAACACTCTATCTGGGAAATTTACCTAATGATATTACTACAGAAGAAATCAAAGCTTTGTCTCCTGATATTTTAGATCTTGCTGTGCCGAAAAAAGATGCACAGAAACGAAAAGTATTGTAAGTATAGAAAAATATTTAGTTAATGTTATTAATTATTTAAAGTTGGAGAATCTATTTCATGGTAATGAAATGAAATAAAATTATATGAATAATGCTTCCCAAGTAGCATGGCAATGTCACATCGACGTTGCAAAAACATTGCCGAGTAACAGAGTGGTTATACATATATACACTTGGCGCAGCAGATTGCAACTAAAAAGGGAGCTGCACACCCAAGTAGCATTGCAACGACATTAGCAAACTCATCGCGTAGGATTTCGAAAAACATTCCAATGTGTCATAGTTTCACATCTGGAGTTTCTCGCCCAGATGTGTGTGAAACTGTACTGTTTTGCGACCGCTGCAAAGATGTCTTTATTATGTCTTTGTAGATGAGGTCATTATTGCATCTTTCTCAGATTATATTTCGGTTGTGAAAGTATCGAGCTAAAATGCATCACGATGTTTTAATGATGCCGAAATGTTTGCAGAATTAGATTTTTTTGCAAAATTTGTGAAAATGTTATGTCCTTGTGTTATAAATTTATTTATGAAGAAAAATAAGCTTAATAATTAATATATTTTTCTTTTTTTTTAAAACATCATTCTATAACTTTTTAAACTGTTTTTTTGTATTTTCTGATTCAGCTAAGCACTTTATCAAATGTTTCATCGTCAGTAGAATTAGAATATTCAGTAAACGAATCTGATAATCGTGAAATTCATGTTCATTGTCAGAAGTAACTGCCAGTTATACAAAATCTGTAGAAAATTTTAATACTTCGAATGATTTAGATGGGAAATTTTCATAGGGAAGAACTATATTTTTGATTACTGTAGAGCAGGGGCCCATGCCCGTAAAGCTGTTTCTGTGAGCCCGTGACCGTCCGCTTCATATCATATGCAATGCCAGAAATCTCATCAAATGCAACTTTTAATTTTTTTGCTACCTTTTTAATGTAGGGTATTGTTTATGATGCTTATAATTGCAATAAAATAAAGAAATATTAAGAATCGTTAATGCTGCCACTTGATGCTTTTGTCTCTCAGTTATCCTATTATAATTAATCATCTGCAATATATGTATACATATATATATATAATACACATATATATGTGTATAATCCTTTTTTAAAAATTCATCCACATATTTAAATATCCAATACTTTAACAAGAAGGCAATTATTTGAGGTTTTTTTAGATTAACAACATAGCAGTCTAAATAGATTTAATTCCTGTAACTAACCATCTTCTGACATTTTTTGTTACCATAAGGAAAACAAATTGCAAATGTAACTTTAGATGAAATGAACTGTATATATTTTGAAATATTTCGAGAGACAATTTCAATTAAAAACTCGTGAGGAAAGCTTCATAATTTGATTTAATTTTCGATGAAATACTTGCATGCATGCTTATCAAAAAAGCACGCTTCCAAGGTTATGTTAGTTATGCATTATAATACTGTAATGTACTGTAAAAACACAATATTCTAAAAATTTTAGCTTGTTCAAATTTTGAGATTTTTAGTTTTTATTCAGATATTTCTATAACCTATTAAAAAATGATATTCCATGGAAATTAAAAGGAAGTGTAAAGTTGTTTAGAATAATACTGATAAAAATATACTTGGGATGTGAAGAGTATAGAAAGCTCTCCAAATAATTTTGAAAGTGAATTAGAGTTGAATTAACTTTAGATCAGGGGACGCAACCGAAAAATAGGTGGTACACAAAGAAGCAAAGTATTTTTAACTGTAAAACTCAAAAATCAGAAATCCCAACATCCTGATTGTGTTTTTTCTCTAACACATAAATTTATGTGATCTTGAGCTTTGCTCAAAAGGGGTGGTGGTGCTAAAGGTTTTCAATTTTTGTTTGGAGGGTACGCATTAGTCAAAAGATTGAGAACTGCTGTTTTAGATTGTAAAGCTAGTTTTGAATCACATAAGCTGACTGAAAATTATAACATTAAAAAGATAAAAAATAGGTTATTATCCAGAAATGTCAGTTTAGTGAGAGCTCTTTTACTGGAGAACTTTCTAAGTGAATATTACACAGAGATAAACCATGGAGAAAAAATATATGCAGCTGTAACAGTCAGTTAATTGTCCATAATTATTCCAATTTAGGCGAGAGACTTCCTATTTCTGACTGTACTCCTCACTTTCTCTTATTCTTAAAATTTCTCATGATTTTTATGTAGCTTGGCTTAATTATTTATACTCCAAAAAGTGATTTTGGTTGTTTGAAAGCACTTGGTTTATATCTACATTTCATATATAAAAGAAAAC